GTGGGGAAGGCCCCTGGTCTCCAGTAAACAGAAGACAGAAGCGCCTCCCGAAGTTCCCAAGGGTTCTGCCTGGTTTCACTTCTACAATAATTCAGCCATGTCTCACTGCCAGCTGGCTTCATGTTCCAGCACCCTGGCCGGGACGTCTTAGCTGCCCTGCCCTCTGAGACAGCAGCCAGGCCAGTCCTGGAGGTGCCACGCCTCCCTCCGTACGAGCACAGAGCCCCCCCAGGGCTCACGGCAGCTCCAAGCCCACAACCAGCCTCGGTGAAGGAGTCCGCCCTCCTCCACGCAGCAGCCCTTCTAGTGCCTGAGGGCGACTCCCACGCCCCCCACGTCTTCCCCTGGGGGGGTTCCTGCCACCTCAGGGCTTCCAGGACCCTCAGCTTGTGTGCGGACACGCAGCCTGCCCGTTTGTGGATTGGGCCGTTGGCCGTTGCATGGTGCGAGCTCTCTGCGTGTTGTGGGTCCCCCCCTTCCGAGGGACACTGTTGGCTGTGTCCTAGGATACACAGCAGTTACTGCTTGTGTTTTTTGGTGTCATCGCAGTGTTTTCATTATTGTTTGCTTCTAAGTATTTTTAAATTCCCCTGTGATTTCTTTGATCTTCTGAGTTTTCTAAAAGTGTGTTTTCTTAATTTGCAAATGCAATAGGGATCTTGTACTCACCTTTTAATTATGAGTTTCCAGTTCAGTTGCTTTGCAGCCGGAGAACGTGGTGCATGTGGCATGGATTATATGACACTGGCTGGGATTTAGTTTAACAGCCTCGTGAGTCGGCAAGTTTGTAAACATTCCACGTGTGCTCCTGTAGAATGTGTGTGCTTTAACTGTGGGAAGAAAAATTCTGCTCGTGTCATCAGGTCAAGTTTGTTAGTCGTATGGTTTAGATTCGCTGCAGGTTTCTGCAGATTTTCTGCCTGCTTGGCCCTTGGTAGCTCTCGTGACGTTTTATACTCCGTTTGGTCTGATGTTCGCAGTGACACCAGTGTGCTCTTGGTTGGGGTTTGCCTGACGTATTTTTCCCGTCCTGTCACTTCTGGTCTTCTGTGTGGTTTTGCTCCGGCCATAGCTCTTTTTTGGGGGGGTAATTAGGTTTATGTATTTATTTATTTTTTGGAGGAGGTGCTGGGGGTTGAACCCAGGACCTCGTGCATGCCAGGCGTGCGCTCCACAGCGTGAGCTGTGCCCTGCCCCGCTGTCCTAGCTGTATGCGTTGAACACAGTGTGTAGTTTTTAATCTTTTATCTGAACTGACCATGTCTCTTCCCACCCTCGGCACGCCAGGCGCGTTTCCATGCGCTGTTTTCACGCATTTGAATGTGCCTCTGCCTTATTGTTAACATTTCTACTTGTCCCTGTATCTTTATGTCCTTTTTCCTCTTTTTTATTTTGTCTTTTTTAGTGATTAACCTTTTCCGATAAGTCTCCCCCTCCGCCCTTGCTTCTCTTCTCGTCTGTCGGTTTGGAACGTATTCCCCTGTGTCTGTCCCTTAGTCACTAGCCCTGCTGTTCTGTCAGTCGTGTTTAACAGGCGATGTTACAGTTAAGTGATATTTTTACCCTCCTCCCAGTCAAAAAAGCACGTTAGAGCCCCCGCTCACACCCCGGGCCCTGACTTCCACTCCCTCCTCGTCTGACGCGCCCCTGTCTTTATCCCACAAGTGAGATGTGCTGGCTGTCATTTGGCACAAGCATTGCTTGTTCATGCCTGCAGGCCCTCTCCAGATTCTTGGACAGCAAGACCGGAGAGATGAACGTGGCTCCCACAGGCTCTGAGGCAAGAGAGCTTCTGCTGACAGCGGAGCTTGTGCACAAGGGAGAGGAGTTGAGAGGGTGTCCGCTCCCTGAGGGCTTCAGGGAAGGAAGGCGTTTTCAAGGCAGTGAGAGGCAGGGGACCGCAGGGGGCCCGATCAGCCTGGGCTCAGTCCTCAGGTTAGTTGGCATCAGGGTGAAATTTCTAGGACCATCAACCTTCTGGTTTCAGCCAGTCAGGGGTCTAGGTGCTGGCGGTTAGCAGTCTCCATCTGGGGGGTCTGCTTCCTGCAAGAACAACCTAAGACCATGTGCCAGGGACCTGGGAGCGCAGGGGTTCTGCTCTGGGCAGATTTGTATTCCCGCTTTTGTCCTCGGGAACCAGGTACGCACATCAGCGGAACAGAGGGCTCGCCTTTCACTCCTGCGGCTCTTTGGTTACCATATCAGAAGCCCCAGCTTCAGGTGCTCTGTCTTTGGCGGTCTGTCGAGCCCACGTGCTCGAGGCCGTCCCTCGGTCCTTTTCCACAACGGCTGTGCTCACGTCCTGTCTCCCAGCACCTGTGGGCCCCGGGGAAACACGCCGGGCCTGTTTCTAATGTGCTTGTGGGGCCTGACTTAGGAGAGTGTCCCCTCCAGGGGGCTGACTGCTCCCTGCCTGGCATTGAGGGCGCCCCGCCCAGGACCACCAAGGCCCCCGCGCAGGTTCTGGTCCAGAGCCAGGAACCTCACAGTCAGCGTCTCCTCCTCGGCGCTGTTCTAAGGATCAAATCCTCCCTCCCCCAACACCAGGTGCGGTGGGACAGTGGCCCCCGTCACAGCCCCGCTGCTTGAGCTCCCGCCATGCTGGCGCTGCTCCCGCCTCCCCTTGGGACTCTGCTCCGTTTGTTTGTCTGGGGGCACAATCCCTGACAGCCCCTCCTGCCTTTGCAAGACCAGCCACGCCTCAGATTGCATCTCAGCTGAAGTTAGGGCCGTGGACCAGGAGGCCAAGAGCCTTCAGGCCTCCGTGACGCTGCCAAACGCAGCATGATACAGCCTCGCCCCCTGCTTTTAATCTCCTCGTTTTGAACCCACTGTTCCCCGCCTGAGAGTCTTTTCAGCTAGAAACCCTGTTGTGAATCACACGGGTCTTACCGGCACCGGGGGCGCATTCTGGATCAGAGGGCCGGGACAGAGCCTGCTCCAGCACCGCCCGCGGGTGGGTGGCTCCCTCGTCTGCGTGGCACCAGCTGCTGTCAGACCCTGCGGGTCCCAGGAGCCCATGACCTCAAGGAGCCCACGGTCCTATAGCCAGATCACCTCTCCCCGCAGCCAACAGGAGGGACGTGGCACTGACCGCCGATCCTGACTGGAGGCTGGCGGCTGGAACTCGGAGCCCTGTCCCTGTCCCACTCTGTCCTCACGCTGCCAGACGGCAGTGATGTTAAATCAGAGTCACACCCCTGAAGCTTCCCCTTCCACACTTGCTGTGAAGTTTAGCCTCCCAGGAGCGCCAGGAGCCACGTAGGGGGTGGGGTCCCACCTGTGAAATTAGCCCAGCTCGGGACCTGGGCAGGTCAGCTGGGAGATGAGTGCCCCTCCGTATACCGGCCTGCCCCCTTGCCCGCTGCCTCCGTGTGCGGACTGTGATCTGCCGGTCCCACGCGCACTGCCTCGTCCGCAGCCAGCCCTGCCCTGGGGGTCCTGGCCATCCTGGGTGTCCGCCCCCAGCCGGGCCTCTGGAGCAGCCTCTGTTTCCCCAGGCATCAAGTGGACGCCAGACGAGAACGGAGTCATTGCCTTTGACTGTCGGAATCGCGGCTGGTAAGCGCTCCCGGCGGGGCCCCTGGTGCCGGCCTCTCTTCACAGCCTTTGCATTTTGCCTGGTTGTCCTCCAGTCCCTGCCCCGCGCCCACCCAAGGGCCAGAAGTGTGTAGCATTAACCCGAAGCAAGAGGAGAGGTGTGGCTGGCTGCACCCATCCACCCCCGCCTCCCTAGCGCTGCCTCCACTCAGGACTCCTCCCGTGTCTTCCTGCCCCAGCTCCTTCCAGACCCTGAGCTGGCCCCACATCACCCTCGGCCAGCCCTCCCCTCCCTGCAGATCTGTAACCAAGTTGGAGGGGGAGTTCGACTCCCTCGCTCCCTGCAGCCAGCCTCTGGGACCTGGGCTGGCCCGGAACAAGGAGGACAAGGGTCAGAACTTGACCTTTCCCCCACCTGACACGCCCACTCAGTGGGCACAGTCCCGATGGTTGCCCCCGAATCAGCTTCAGAACCACCGAGTCGTCACGGGACATGAGAAAACTGGGCCCCAACCTGTGCTCTGCGCACCCCGGGGCCGGAGCCAGAACTGGGGTCGCGGGAGACCGGGTCAAGGCGGTCTGGTGGCGGCTCTCCCACCGTCTGCTGTCCCTCCCTTCCTGCTGAAGGTACATCCAGGCGGCCACCTCCCCCAAGGACATGGTGATCCTGGTGGACACGAGCGGCAGCATGAAGGGGCTGCGGCTGACCATCGCCAAGCACACGGTCTCAACCATCCTGGACACTCTGGGGGAGAATGACTTCGTGAACATCATTGCGGTAAACACTCTGGACAGACGTTCATCCTCCCGCACCAGCAGGGCCTGTCCTTGCGGCCACTGATGCTTCGTGCCTTGGACGCCTCTCCCTCCTCTGAGGCTGGGCCCCACTAGGGTGGGCTTCCTGGGATCCCCAAAGATTCTGAAATGATGGAATGTGGAATGTGTCACGTCCACTTTCCTGAGTCAGTTTGTCCGCCGAGTCTGGGCTCTGAGGAAGGTGAAGGTGCGTCTGAGCAGATCCCGAGCTCGGCCCCATCCACATGCCCGTGCCCCCTGGAGGGGCCTCTCTCTTCCCCCTCCCCAAACTCAGACACGTTGTGGGTGGGGGGCAGCAGACCCCAGTCCTGCTTTCACAGCAACTCTCCGTCGGGACTATCCCACCCGCCCCAGACAGGTGACAAAGTGCAGGGATAAACAGAAAAGGACGGGAGAGGCAGGTTCAGGGACATCTGGTCTCTGAGCTCCAGGAGGTGGACGCCCTCAGCCAGCACCTGGGAAAATGCTCAGGGCCAGGATTTGAGGGAGAATTTTTAGAGTTAAGGCCCTGCTGTGCCCTCTACTCCCTTCTCTCTGCTCAAAAAAATTACCAAAATCATAGGGCCCCCCAAGAGCGTTACCCAGGTTCCAGGTGGCCCCACCCCTGACCCCTGTGAGCTGTGAGCTTTGTCCCTGGGCCCTGACCTTCCACACTGACCCCGTGTGCTCTGCCCTCTGCCCTCTGCAGTACAATGACTACATCCACTACATCGAGCCTTGTTTTAAAGGGATCCTGGTCCAGGCAGATCGAGACAACCGGGAGGTGGGTGAGCTCGGCGCCAGTGGGCATCTTCTTGCAGGGGCACAGAAGGCCTCGCACCTGACCACCCGCACCCTCTCAGCTGGTCCTGGGGGCCCTGGAGAAACATGAGCGGTGGGGGCCAGCCGGGAACTTAGGGGCTCGTGGAGGGATGGGTCCTGCAACCCTGCTCTTCTGGGCGAATGGCTCCAACAGCCCCTGAAAGCAGGACTGAAGATGCAGGTTCCCTGGCCCACGGACCAGCTGACCCTCCTCTCGCTTCTCGCCCATGCTAGCACTTCAAACAACTGGTGGATGAGCTGATGGTCAAAGGTGTGGGGGTCGTGGACCAAGCCCTCAGTGAAGCCTTCCAGATCCTGAAGCAGGTACTGCGCCTGACGGCGCCGGGAGCGCAGTGGTGGGAGGCCGGGTGCAGGTGGGCGGGTCACTGCACTGTGCCCCCCCCATTCCCCGCGCAGTTCCAAGACGCCAGGCAAGGAAGCCTGTGCAACCAGGCCATCATGCTGATCACCGACGGGGCCGTGGAGGACTACGAGCCCGTGTTCGAGAAATACAATTGGCCAGACCGCAAGGTTCCTCCCCCGGGGAGGGCGGGGCGGGGGCCGAGGGAGGGCTCTCCTCCTGCCCGGAGGCCGGGCTGCCCCATCCACGCACTCTGCCCGTGAGGTCCAAGCTGACAGTCCTACATCGCAGTGACCCGAGGGGCCCCGTGCGAGGGGCCAGGAGAGAGCGCAGAGTCTGGTGGAGACAGGAGTTTGGGAATGCGGGCTGTGAGCCCCGCTGCACCTGGGCCCTGGGTCCTCTCTGATGGGAGGGGGTGAGGTCGCAGAACCCCAAGACCCGACTCCAGACTTCGGGATGGTCAGGCCCCTCGTGGCCTGGACTCCGGCTGAGCCCACCGTCCTCATCCCCAGGTCCGAGTCTTCACCTACCTGATTGGGAGGGAAGTGAGTTTTGCTGACCGCTTGAAGTGGATCGCATGCAACAACAAAGGTGAGGCAGGCCCCTGGCACCTCACCTGAGCGCAGGTGGGACGGTGTTGCCCAGGCCCCGCGGGACACATGAGGCAGACATAGTTGCCCCCAGAGCCTGAGAGATGCCCACCTGGCACCGCTGACTTGGGCCCCTCGATCTAAGCAGAGTGTGTTGAGCTCGCAGTGGGTGGGCAGACTCTCCCGGCCCCGAGAATCCATGTGGACAGGACGGTCCAGCAGGGGAGACTCCCAAGGGAGGCGTCATGACGGTACTGTCTGAAATGCGCTGCAGGGGGTGGGGGCACAGACCAGGCTGGGTGAGGGGCGTGTCCTCCTTGATGTGGGGTGTCAGGGAGGACTTCCTGAAGGAAGGGGATCTCAGGTGAGACATAAAGAAATGGTGGGAGTGAGTCAGATGCAGAAGGCAGGGAAGGGTGTTCAGGCCGAGGGAACAGCATGTTCAAAGGGTCTGAGACAAGAGATACTCTGGGAACGAAAGCCGCCCCATCCTCTGGAGCTGGAGTGAGTGTGTTGTGGGCGGGGAGAGCAGGCACCTGCTGAATAATTCACAGGATTAAATCCTTGTGAGGTGTTCACTCTTCTAAATACCACCTCAGCTGCAGCAAGGAGGGGACAGCCCCTCCCCACAACTGAGGACGGGAGTCAGAGGAAGGAGGGGCAGGGTGCTCGGAGACAGACCTGGGAGACAGAGCTGCGTGCGGGAGGGAGCGCCCCTGGAAGGCAGCCCTATGGGAAGCCGGGGGGGCAGGTGCTGCACCCCCGTTGAGGCGGTGCTGCTCCTGGGGTGGCTCCGGAGCTGGGAGGGCCCCTTGGGTTTCTCCCAAGTCCAGGCAGGGCTAGGCCTTCTTGTCCCCGCAGGGTGAGGGTGACCTTGTGGGGAGTGGTGCCTGGAGCCCAGGCTGGCGGCGGCAGTGGGGGAGTGGGGGCCCACAGTCCTCAGCCACGCGCCCGCACCCTCCCCCCAGGCTACTACACGCAGATCTCCACGCTGGCCGACGCCCAGGAGAACGTGATGGAGTACCTGCACGTGCTCAGCCGCCCCATGGTCATCAACCACCACCACGACGTCACCTGGACGGAAGCCTACATGGACAGCAAGGTGGGGCCCGCACCCCAGAGCGGGGGTCGGGAGAGGGGTAAGCTGGCCCTCCTCGGGGACGCTGCAGAGGGATGACATTCGGCCTGGAGCCCGCCCGCCCAGGGCCGCCCTCCAGGGACAGAGCTGTCTGCTCCAGACTCATCGCTTCTCCTCCCCGTGGTCCCCACCTCCCTCACTGTCCCCCCCCATCCCCGTCCTGGGAAGGAAGGAACCGACCAGGGGTTCAAGATACTCCAGTAACCAGGCGTCCTCCCTCCCGGGCTGAGTTTTCAAAGAGACTGCCTGTAGGCCTCACGCGGGAACAGACGTTGAGGGGAGACAGTCGGAGGCGATGCAGGGGGACGGGGCCTGCCTGGCTCTGCTCAGATCTCATCCCAGACGCAGACCCCGCTTCACGATGCTGTGTCAGCCAGGGTTGAGAGAGACCTGGAAACGGTGGATTCTGTGAGAGAGGAGGGTGCTTCTCCGCACATGAAAGCCCAGAGGTGGCTGATCAGCTCCCAGGCCACCGGGGACCCAGGCCCCTTCCACTGTCCCTCCCATCCCTCGGGTCGGCCTAGTCCAAGCAGCCAGTGGAGCCCTGGACACGGCAGCGGGTTCCAAGCTTCAGGTGGCGGAGGGGAGGGGCGCACCCCACCTTTGAGGGAAGCTTCCTGGGAGTCCAACCTGACGTCTCAGTGACCAGAGCTTAGTGCCCGGGTGACTCCTGGCTGTGTCCTGCTGCTGTCTGGGACGGCCCTTCCCTGCCGTGTGCTCGTCCTTGGCGTGGCCGGGACAGGAGGCTGGGTGAGCGTGCTTGGGAGCTGGGCTGTGGCCTCGGGGACTCTGAGACCCGCCCTGGCGACGTCAGCCTGGCCCTCTCCCCTCCAGCATCCCCGCGGCTCCCTCTGTTCAGGGAAGGGAACCTCCTTTGGGGGTTCTCCCGTGGGGAGGCTGACATTGTGGCGTGGGTGCCACCTGTGGCCTCTGCCCTCTGCCCTTCCCTGCTGATAGCCGCCCCCCCCCCGCCCCTGCAGGCACAGAGCTTGAGCCTCCTCACCACCGTGGCCGTGCCGGTCTTCAGCAAGAAGAACGAGACCGTGAGTGGCCGCTTCCCGGGGAGCTGTGGTGTCTGCAGTCCAGTGGTCCTGACAGGCGCCAGAACACCCCAGAGGGTTCAGTGCAGATCCCAGGCCCTGTGCCCCAGTAGCAACCGCAGAGTCCCTTGGTCAGGAGGGTGGGTGCTGGACCCTCACTTCCCGAGGCTCCCCGGGGCTTCTGCTCAGCCGGCCTGGGGTTGTCCCCCTGCTCTGTTCCCGGGACCCTGGGCTCAGTGGGTCACCTGCCAGACACCTAGCAGTCTGGGCTGGCTCCAACCTGTTTGTAAAGGCTCTGCTGGGGGAGTTCCAGGTTTTCCACCTCTGCCTGGTCAGGAGAGTGCTCCTCGGAGGCCCCGGGCTTCAGAGCCCCCACGGGTCGGGGCCCCCGGATCCCAGTGCTTCGGCCTCTGCTGTGAGGATCAACGCTTTGTCCAACTTTGTGCTGCATCTAAATAACACAGCCTAACACTGGGCATTAACCCTCCCAGCAGCGGGGGTGGCTCCTGGGGCCTCTTCAGGTGGTTCCAGACTTCCATTCCAAGGAGCTCGGCCTCAAACCTGACGGCAGGGGGCAGAGTGCAGCTCACTGGTGGGGCACGTCCCGAGCACGCATGAGGCCCTGGGTTCAATCCCCGGTGCCTCCGCTGAAAATAAAGTAATTTAAAAACCGGTAATAACACTCAGAGGAAGGATCACGCAAGGTCCAAGTGGCCTCCCCTCGTGGGCTCTGGAGAGGCCGCGGGCCCAGTCTCGCCGCGCACGCGGGCCGCAGGGCCCCTGACGCTGACGGCTTCCTTCCAGCGATCGCACGGCATTCTCCTGGGTGTGGTGGGCTCTGACGTGGCCCTGAGGGAGCTGATGAAGCTGGCCCCCCGGTACAAGGTGAGCCTGGCCAGGCCCCCCAGGGGCTGCCCCAGCAGGCTCAGGAGCCTCCCTGCAGGCAGCGCGGCCAAGCCCACAGCTGGGTCGGGGCCTGCATCCCCCCCAGACACCCTGCTCCCCAGCATCCCGCCCCTGGATATCCTGCTCCCAGACATCCCCCACCCCCATCCCCTCCCCGACAGACACCGAGCACAGGAAAGCGGTGGGGGCCCCCGGGACCTGGGTCGCCGCAGTTAGGACATGCTCTGGGACCTTCAGCAGTTCTTTCCCGTGCTGGTGCCTCGGTTTCCCAGTCTGTTCCTCCCACCAGCAGCCCCGTTTTGGGAAGAATGAGATATTTGAGGTGCTCACAGTGCCAAGAGCACATGGCAGGCAGGAGCGAGAGGTGATGTGCATTGTCGCGGTTGCTCAGACCATAGTTTTGGGGGAGTTCAGACTGAGCGGAGAAGCACCGCCCTGGCTTAATCATGTTCTTGCTTGAGAAACTCGGTGCTGTGAGGAGCAGCCGCCCTCCCGCCCACGGCCCAGACCCCCCAGCTGCTGCCCTCCCGCTTGCGGCCCAGAGCCCCCAGCACAGAGGCCGTCTGATGCCCC